GAGGCTGACACTCCCGCGAGCAAGCAAGAGGGCTATCTCAGAGCCGCTCGCGGGGGTTTAATCTGCGCGCGAGGGTCATTTTATGCGCGTGTAAAGCACATTTTCCGCTCGTGAGTAGCTTGTTTTACGCGCGAGAATATTGACCCAAATCTGACTCCATAATTCCCACCAGCAATTTCTTCAGGAATTGCATTCTCTAGTTCAAATTTGATATTAGAATATACATCTTATTTCATAAACGAGAACTACAGTCTAATTTTGTGATAAAAGTCCACTTTGATTAAATACTTACCAGAAAAAGGAATGTGGTTATCAGTCTGTGGTAAAATACAGAAGTACAGCTCTGTTTGAGTTGGTTCTTGGTACTCTCCAGTATCAAGTAGCAAGTATTCTCTGTTCCTGATTCCGGGTTATCACAAACTGGTGCATAAACACATTCTATCAGTCTGCTTTGGCCCAAATTGTCCAAATGAAAATATATATTTTTGAATGCAGCCTGACTGCTTATGTATTCTTTTTTATAATGAACATCTGAAGTAAAATTGAGAATCAATTCATATCATATTCAGGCGTCACCTCTGTAGGTAACTATTGTAAATCATCTTTGGAGTAGAACACTTAAATTAAGCAGACCCATAACCGATGCGATGCATCCTCTGTGACTAAATTGCATGTTTGTTTATATGGGGTATTATATCACTTTAGTCAGGGTTGGGAGGGTTACTTTAAAAATGTAATCCGTAGTAACATTAAAAAAAAAACAACGAGTGACCTAATCTAAGTATCAACATATAAAGTAATGTAACCTGATTGCTTTCCGATACTTTTGGATGACCTCAATATCAAATGCAATGCAAATTATAAACAACAACAAAATAAATATCAATAAAAAATGTTTTACTTAAGTGTATGTCAATAAGTGTATGTCAGAATGTAACCTTAGAAAAGAAGAAACCAAAATATTTCACAACAAAAATGTAGTTAGAGTAATAGTTTACAAATGCTGCTAAAGCTTAATACATTTATAATCAAACATCATTTCTGACTCTTACAGTATACTGTATGTCTATATGTTTACGTAAACATCCAATGGTAATTGCATTTATTGTTACCAAAGTCAATACAATACAATTATTCCATGATGTCAATGTGGATTTAGTTTTCTTGATAGATCAGTAAAAATAAAGACCCTCAGAAGGAAACTCCAAACTCATTTAGCAGAAACCCCCCTAAAAAATTAAGATGCCACCATTTTTACATTTGTATGTGTCAAGACAGGAAAGGTGTGACATGCTTCCTTGTTTTCTACTGTATAAAGCCAGACTCCAGCACATTGACCCACAGAGCACTCTCACACCACTCTCACATCACTGTCACACCACTCTCACATCTTCATCGGTGCTGAAAGATCAAACAACCGCCAAGATGATGACTAAAGCCACGCTCCTCCTGTCCGCTCTGATGCTCTGCTGCTGCATCGCCTCTCTGCAAGGTAACACATTTATTTTTTATTTTTAAGTGTTCTTAACTGTGTAATCCAGTATGTTGGAATGCTTCCTCTTACTATGATTTTTTGTAATTTGTGCATCCTAATTTAGTCAAACACTAAGCTGCCATCTGCATCTAATGATAGTTTACCTATATTGAAGCTGTACATTTTTAAGAACTTTATGTTGCTCTAATTTAAGACTATCATGCTATAACACCAATTTCATTTTTGATGATTTGCTATAGGCAGGCAATTTGACAAAAACACAATAATTATGTTTCTATGAGGATGGTTTCATTGTTTTATTTATTTTCTATTTTTGATTTATTGTTCCTTTTCATTTAGAGTATGTTTATTATCTTGTTTTCTTTGACCACATTTCATACTTTCCACTATTCTCAGTTATTAGCCAAGTTAACAGTGTTACAATCTGTTATGTGTTAGAGTACACTCCTGACACTGGAAACAATCATAACTCACGGTTCAGTTACTTTAAACCTTGCTCTTTGCTTTTCCTGGAGCTTTCAACTTCACCTTGGGCTTTTTCTCAGCCGAATTTGAGTAATTCTTTTATCAAATGAAAAGTGAACCTGAGCTAACTTTGTCCTCTCAGGAAGAAAGTGAGATGCTGTTCAAAGCTCTAGAAAGATCTACCAACAAGAAGTGCCTTGAGTTTGAGCTTTTGTGTCAAAAACTATTTCCAAGGTTGAGAATGACATTCGACCATTAACATCATTTTGTTTCAACAGTAAAACCAAACGTTTAAAAAAGTGAATGAAGCAGTATTCACATTTCATTCAGATTTTCAGAGGTTTCTCAGGGGTAAAACTTGTGTTCCATCTCACAGCTTTTCCGAGGCAGCGCTGTATGTGCATCCGGACCATCTCTTCTATGCCTGTCCGAGTCATCAAGAGAATCGAGGTGATTCCCATTTCAGGACACTGCCGACGGACTGAAATCATGTGAGTAGTCAAGATTAATTTCCAAAACTGCGGAACCTTTTTTATGGTAAAACAGGTGCAAATATATTTTATATTTCTGATTGATTATGAAAAAAAGAGTCCAGAGTTCAACTTTTTTTTACATCACAGGACCACAGATTGAAATTAGCTATTAGCTATAATCTGGCATATTGCATCTCTTCTCTTTGCTGAGATTAATGTTTTTGTATGCATGGTCCTTCTATAAATAAATACAAATACAAAAATCACACAAATACTGTTATAGAAGCCAAACAGCAGTGTGGGAAAAATCGCGTAAGCTGCTTTTTAAGAGGCAGTAATAACAATGTAAACACTCTCAATTACAATAAGTCTAAATTGTATCTACTAAAAGCAAGTTATACAAGCATACAGTCCTTTAAGTAAGTATTTGTATTGCAACATAACAATACAACCTTTGGAGAGTCAGGATGCTTTCAGTTTTTATGCAACATGGCCTCAACATATCGTCTCTTGGGGGAAATCAAAACAACATATTTACCAAAATGTTCTGCTATTGCTTAAAGAACAGTATTTGAGTACTTCAAAGTAACTGAATTTATGTGTTTGTGTCAATCGAGTGTTTCCAGTGTCAGGAATCTACTTTAACACATAACAGATTGTATCACTGTTAACTTGACTAATAAGTACTTATAAAAGTGAAAGTACTGGAGAAGTACAAAATTACACAGAATGGAAAAAACTAAAGCGTGCAACTTCAAAATAAACATCGACAGCACCGTACCACTTCAGGAAAGGTACTGCATTTACCACTTTTGTTTAACTGAGACTTCTGCATCTGCATTCTGCTTCACCCGAACGGGAGCAACATCCAAATACCAACTAGTAAACTCTAATCTTCTCTCCTGTCAATAATAAAAGTCCAACTCCTCCTCCTCTCCGCAGAGTCACCAGAAGGAACGGCTCTCAAGTTTGTGTGAACCCAGCGGTGAACTGGGTCTACGTACTGATCAGCAATCTGAAAAGGTAATGATAGGCTTATTTTAATTAATGAACTGCAAAAAAAACAATTACAATATCTACAGTATAAACACAATAGTACTTTTTTCCATTGTAAACTGATATCTCTGAATTTTGGACTGTAGATTGGTAGAAATCCATTAGACAAGTTTCTGACATTTAATAGACAAACAATTATGCTACAGTAAAGTGTCAGTTTACAGTGTATGGTAATGTTTATGGAGATGTGTTTTCTTTTGTTTTTCTTCCTTAAATGTATAATACATTCTATACAAAAAATCTACAAATTTTGTTCTTGCGGAAACAGAAGATCTTCAACTCCCTGAATGATTCTTCAGCTCACTGTTGACAGCTTTCTAACGGCCCGTCTACACTACAGGCGTCAAAAAATGCTTTCAACGCTTCGCCCATTCATTTGAATGGGGTGACGTAGGATATTTCAAACTTCGCCGAACTGCATTGTGGGTAGCATGGCAAGGCGTTGCAAGCATCGCGAGCGTCTATCGATGCTTGCTCGAAGCTGGCGTCAGCCAATCAAATCCCGTTTTTGCAATTCCCGCCAGTACAAAGCCCGCTAGCCAATCAAACCGCGTAGCAAGCTGGGAGAGCCGGACCGCAGCTTCATTTTCCCTCATATGCCAAACGAGAAATTACGGTAGCCAAATCACCCGGTCTTTCCGACCAGACTATTACCGGGATACAAACCGGAGGAACCAGGCATGGAGGGAGGTGGGCAGAGACAGTGGGTGAAACTGGTAGGTTTTCGCCTGTTGGGGAGTTTATATACAGTTTACTTCGTTTTAAACATTGCTATTGCTTTGTATGTCGGGGGCGGGAGATTCATGTGATTGGTTGTTGGTCGCGTTGCTCGCAAAAAATCGCCAAGCTTCAGACACGCCCAGCTTCAAGCTTTTTCGATGCCTGTAGTGTAGACGGGCCGTAATCCTGGTTTAGCTTTACGGCCCGTCCACACAGCAGCTTTTGGCGATTTGTCCACCGCTTCCAGCGCGTCTCCGCCCATTGACTTTGAATGGGGATGACGTCACTTTCCCTCGCTTGTCCGCCGAACTGCATTGTGGGGGGGTGAGGCGAAGATTTCCAGGATTTCCAGGATGTTCAGGATTTCAAAGTTGAACAATGTTCAACTTTTGAGGCTGAGCTGGAAGCGACAGCCAATCAGATCCGTTTATGCAAATCTGACAGTTCAAGCGCTAGCCAATCAAACCGCGTGCAAGCTGGGAGAGCCAGACCGCAGATGAGAAGTTAGTTATTGCGGTAGCAAATCACCCGGTTCTTTATGACCAGTCCCTATTTACTTACCGGGATACAAACCGGAGGAACCAGGCATGGAGGGAGGTGGCAGAGACAGTGGGTGAAACTGATAGGTTTTCGCTTGTTTGGGGATTTTATATCCAGTTTACTTCGTTGCTAGTTTACTTCGTTGCTAGCAAGCATAGACAGTATCATTAGCCAGCATGGAATGTAGCATAAAATAGCACCATAGACATTAATCTCATAAATGTTTAAAGAAAAAGTGGAGAAGAACCGGGGTTTTTTGCTTTGTATGTCGGGGGCGGGAGATTCATGTGATTGGTTGTTGGTCGCGAAATCCCCAAGCTTTCAGACACGCCCAGCTCCAAGATGTTCAAGATTTTTGAAAAGCTGCTGTGTGGACGTACCGTTACATGTCAACAGAGAAATGGACAAATGTTTGTGGCATTGTTACCTTTTTTCTGTCTTTATTGACATGGGAATGTGTCTATTGTCTCCCTTTGTCCCTGAAAACAAATACAAACAAATGAAGCCATTATTTTCTCGGCCCCATGCCATGTCAAAGTGACTTAACTGATATTTCAATACAAAAATAAACCTGAAAATAAACAAAATAGAGCCCTATTTAATAGGATAATGGTAATAAAAACGTAACTTGTATCATATAACGCTGTATATTTCCCCACTCGGGTATCATGTCCACCCTGATCACAATACAACATTTAGCCACTGGGTTTTATTGCCTTCTGAATAATTGTATTTAGTTATTTTGCTTGTCTTGTTTTAATTACAGTTAAGATGGGAACTCCGGCTCAACCACTGTGTCACCCACGCTTCCACAAACAACTTCTGATCACAATCTGTGGCAACATGTGACATAACAATGGCTTCAATTAAATGTATCAGCTGTGAATTAAAATGGGGGGGCTGAGATATGTCCAGCTTTAAAAACTACCTAATGAATCAAATGATTCAACACTTTAATTAAAAATTCTTCTTTTGCCTTTTTCGGAAAATGTCAATAAACAATCTGTCTTACTTATTTCTCAGATGCCTGAAGTACTGACAGTTGATAGTACATCACTTTAACGGGGCTGCTTTACTCCCATGTTATATACATTTTAATATGGATTTCATTATTGCTGTATGGATACTCATTCTAAAATATATAAATGTTGCTATTCTTTTTTTTAAAGCCATAACTCTGTACTGTGAAGGTAATTCTGTGATGGTTTTATTACAAAATCAATAGAATGCAAAGAATGCTTTCCTGTAAATGTGAATACACAATGATGCTGGGCTGGTACTGTAACCTGTCATTTTAGTGTTGTGTTATCATTACTTGTCTTCTTATAAAGAATAAAAGAAGAGAAAAAGGCCATGTTTTTTGCCTTTTCTTTTTGTCGGGCTGTGTGGAGGGTTGATACTGCTGTTGGGGTTTTGTATGAACTGAGGTATAACAGCTCACATGTTAAACACAGCTGCAGCCTTTGTAGAAGTCCTCCACTCATTCATGTACAAATCATACAAGTGTGTTTAGAAAAACATTATACTGAATAGCTTTTTTTGGGGCCACTCACTTTATTACACTGAACAAAAATATAAATGCAACACTTTTGTTTTTGCTCCCATTTTTCATGAGATGAACTCAAAGATCTAAAACATTTTCTATATACACAAAATAACCATTTCTCTCAAATATTGTTCACAAATCTGAAAAAATCTGTGATAGTGAGCACTTCTCCTTTGCCGAGATAATCCATCCCACCTCACAGGTGTGGCTTATCAAGATGCTGATTAGACAGCATGATTATTGCACAGGTGTATCTTACTGGTTTGTACCATTGACCACCATTTGCCTCACGCAGTGCAACACATCTCCTTCGCATAGAGTTGATCAGGTTGTTGATTGTGGCCTGTGGAATGTTGGTCCACTCCTCTTCAATGGCTGTGCTAAGTTGCTGGATATTGGCAGGAACTGGAACACGCTGTCGTATACGCCGATCCAGAGCATCCCAAACATGCTCAATGGGTGACATGTCCGGTGAGTATGCTGGCCATGCAAGAACTGGGATGTTTTCAGCCTCCAGGAATTGTGTACAGATCCTTGCAACATGGGGCCGTGCATTATCATGCTGCAACATGAGGTGATGGTCGTGGATGAATGGCACAATAATGGGCCTCAGGATCTCGTCACGGTATCTCTGTGCATTCACAATGCCATCAATAAAATGCACCTGTGTTCGTCGTCCATAACATATGCCCTGCCCATACCATAAACCCCACCACCACCATGGGCCACTCGATTCACAACATTGACATCAGAAAACCGCTCACCCACACGACGCCACACACCACTGTCTGCCATCTGCCCTGAACAGTGAAAACCGGATTCATCCGTGAAGAGAACACCTCTCCAACGTGCCAGACGCCATCGAATGTGAGTATTTGCCCACTCAAGTCGGTTGCGACGACGAACCGGAGTCAGGTCGAGACCCCGATGAGGACGACGAGCATGCAGATGAGCTTCCCTGAGACGGTTTCTGACAGTTTGTGCAGAAATTCTTTGGTTATGCAAACCGATTGTTGCAGCAGCTGTCCGAGTGGCTGGTCTCAGACGATCTTGGAGGTGAACATGCTGGATGTGGAGGTCCTGGGCTGGTGTGGTTACACGTGGTCTGCGGTTGTGAGGCCGGTTGGATGTACTGTCAAATTCTCTGAAACGCCTTTGGAGACGGCTTATGGTAGAGAAATAAACATTCAATTCACGGGCAACAGCTCTGGTGGACATTCCTGCATGCCAATTGCACGCTCCCTCAAAACTTGCGACATCTGTGGCATTGTGCTGTGTGATAAAACTGAACATTTTAGAGTGGCCTTTTATTGTGGCCAGCCTAAGGCACTAACTAACTGTCTACCGGCAGAAACTCAGCTTAACGCTGCCGTGATTAAAACGCCATATTATGTTCCAAACCACATCAAGCATTATTTCTGAAACGGTATGGAGCTTAAACGCTTTTTCTCTTGCGGGTTTACCACAAGGACAGTGCCTTTTACATCCGTCTTCTTGACACATGTTCTCTCAAGTACAGCGTTAGCTCTGAGTGTTAGCGATGCTTGCTAATGTAAACAAAGACCTTATTACTTCCAAAACACTTTGTGCATTGTTTCTTGTTTCCCCAGAAGAGGGCGCTATGCTCAACATTATTAATTCAGTGCAGGGAAACCCTTGAAATGAAATCATTTAAATATACTGAAAACTAGAGGAAATGTAGGTAGAACCTTTTGATCTTTAGTTTCTTGTAGACTTAATCGCACAAATATTTATCAGAGGCATAAAATGAAGCTCCCTGTGTGATAACAATTCCAAAAGTGGACTTGAAAGACACTGTTGTGCACCGACAGAAATGCTAAGAGAGGTTCATTTTCATGTTGTTTTATGTTTGTTTTGTCACTCACCATTTGTCTCTCATTCCAGGCTTCCTGATTGTCCACCCCTTGTGTGTCTCCTGTGCTCATCAGCACCAGCCCTGCCCCTGATTGTTTTCACCTGTGTCTTGTTGTCATGTGTTTAAATTTCCCAGTCTCCCTGGCCCTTTCTCATTTCTCTAACCCCCCTCCTCGACTCCTATCCTCGAGACTTAGTCCCGCCCACAGGAGATGTGAACGGAGGAGTCGAGGAGGGGAGCCGAGGAGAGAGGAGGGGAAGCAGCAGGCGGTTAGAGAAATGAGAACTCCTTTCCTCTGAGCGGTCATTTTAAAGAGACGTCCATTAATGATGACAGGAGGCACAGCAGCCCTCTGTCTGATGGACAGGTGTGTTCATGACGATTTATATATTTACTTTTAATTCATTCACAGTGCGGTATAATGAGACAATAACAGGCTACAGATGCGGACACACACATACACACACACACATATATATATTTATATAAATATATACCATTTCAGAATCAAACAGAGCACTCTCATAATAACGTAACACTATCTGTCCGCTGCATCTACGCACACACTGTACCACACACACCTACACACTGTACCACACGCACCTACAGCTCCTAAAGCATATAATCAGGCTACAGCCGTTGTGTATTTTATTATGTGAAGCACTAAATGGTTTTAGAAAAATATCGACTCTTTGTTTGTAGATATCTACTAAACTACAGCAAATACAGAGAGTAATGTAGGCCTGTTATATTGAGTGATTTATATTTTACACACTGCTCTGCTTTCTGCACGGACCTCACAGCTGTTCTCTCTGTAAACATCGCGTCCCGATGAGAGCAGTTAATAAAATAATATCCAGGGGATGCATGCAGAGCTGTCATTGGCTGAGATAAGTCCGGCCGTGCGTCAGGACTCTTTGAAACATCTCTGTTCCCGGAAATGCATCCACGAAGGAGCCGTGGAGGACCGTGGAGGACCCATCAGTGTATCCTCGGTTATAGCTTCTCCAGAGAGCCTCCTCGATGCTCGATCATCGGTCCTCGAAGTGCATTTAGAGAAATTAGATGTCCTTCAACATGGCGCGCTAAAATTCATTTCCGGGTCACTACCGGAGGGGGATTTGATGAAATGAGAAAGGGCCCCAGTGTTCATTGTCAGTTCGTCTTGTCTCATGCCATCGTCAGGTCTATGCTCTCTTTGTGCTCTAGAAAAGTTTGTGTTCCTCACTACGTGAGCGGTTTCCTTTGTTCTCATTTTTTGTCATCTCATCCTGAGATTCGATAGTGACCTTTTTTGTTCATCTTGCTTTGTTGGAAAAATAAAGTATCTTACCAATACTTTACCTCTGTCTCCCGGGTCATGCAATTGGGTCCTAAATCCTGAGTGTCTGAGTTCATAACAGACACTTATGACAAAGGACAGTCAAAATAGGAGAGAGCCAAGATCCAAAAATGCTGGCTCTTAAAAGTATTGTTATAATAATTATTATATAATAACAATTCTTAGGAGTATAATTAGTATTCATACAAATATATATCACCAAAAGGCATACTTATAGTAGCCAAAAGTGTATAGTAGGGTTCACTGTAAAGCACAATACATTCCTATGAATATCACAGTCACATGTACAGGTGTTTCCACTAAAGGTGTCTAATTAGACCATTTAGTGTTTTCGTCACAAGCTGTGCAAACTGACGCCATTTTGGCCTTCATGAAATGTCTTAATTTACTTATTAGCATGGAAGTTGGCGGTGCAGAAGTCAGCGAATGTGAGTTTTTACTACTGTATTTAGGATACATTTGTGATTTAGAGTAACAACCTTGCTTGTTCAGTAATGTTGATAACTAAATGTGACACTCGTGCTAATTAAGGCTAGCATCTGTACTGATGAACAATTTTGAAGTAATGTGAGCTACTTTACCATTTTCTGTTACTTTTACTACAGCCTACGTTTACAAATAAACGGCGACTAATAGACATGGAGCACAGGGGAAGACAAGACTAAATACACAGAAGGGTAATCACAGGACAAGACACAGCTGGGCAGGGGAGGCAGAAACACAAGGGCAACAGGTGAACACAATCAGACAATCAGACACACCAGGGAAACTAAAGACAGGGAGGCAAACACAGGAAGAAGGATCAGACAAGACACAAGGAGGAAAACATTTAAAAATAAAAAAGTGGAAAATGAAAACATAAATCCAAAACCATGGAGACGTCCCAACAAAACAAAAAAGTCCAAAAACTTCAAGAAGGATGGGTGGAGGGGGTCTGGAGGACGGGTTTGGGCTGACAGCCCGGGGGCACGGTAGAGGACCAGGAAGGGGTCTCGGGCGGACGGCCCGGGGGCAAGGCAGAGATCATGGAGGGGGTCTCGGGCGGACTGCCTGGGGGCAAGGCAGAGTTTGAGTAGGGGCGAAGGC